TTAGAGTAAGCCCACAGGCCCTCCACAAAAAAAAAAAAAAAAAAAAAACTCTCAAAAAAACAAAACAAAACAAACAAAAAAACTTTACATTGATGCCCCAAATCATACAGCGAGTAAGTGGCACAGCTAGAATTTGAATCAAGTTGGTCTGATACCAAATCTTACACTTACTAGTCTAGAGACCTTCAGTTTGAAGGCAGGCTTGGGTTCAGTGAATACTGACCTTAAACTGATTATCTACATCATAACTGACGGAATACATCTCTTAACACAACCTAGGCACACCCACAGCATCATTACCCTTAAAAAAAAGTTTTTTGGTAAAAGCCATTCCTGACTGAACAACCTCACAAATGTTGGATGAGGCAAGAGTTTGGAAAAAGAGGAGAGGTGATTATTACATCCATATTACAAATATGGTTCGTGAAAAAGGGAACAATTTTAAGGGACTCAACAAAATATGGTCTCTCATTAACTCTATATATTTTTGTTCTGCTTCTAAGAAATTACTTTTTAGGGACCAGCAGTTAGCATAATGCCTAAGTGGCTGGAGTCCCATGTCATTCCCCAGAGTCGAGTACTGGACCTGGTGGCTTAAACGTATGCCAGGCTGATATGCGTGTGTGCTCAAGATCCCAAAAGGAGAATGGAGGAGAAGGATTGCGGTGTGACCATTCCCCCTGGAGGGAGATTTCTCGCTTTCTGTTTCTCTCTGTGTTTTTCTGGCAAGCACACATGCCCTATAACAAAAACCTCTCCAAAAAAAAAAAGAAGTTACTTTTTTAACGGTAACTTTATTACATCAATAAATGGATTGAGCTTGGTTCACAAATTATTTCTTTTTCTTTAAATAAAAGAGAATAACAGCATTGTCAAGTCACTCATGCATACACAAAGATCTATAACACAGAGAACTTCCAAATAGAATATTCTGTTTGGAAGAGTAGTAACTTAAACTTCTATAAATTTTTTGTTTGTTTGTTTTGAGAGGTGTTTGCTATAGGACGCATGTGCTCGCCAGACAGACAGAGAGAGACAGAGAGATAGAAAACGAGAAATCACCCCCCAGGAGGGATAGCCACACCGCAATCCCTTCTCCTCCATTTTCCTCTTGAGATCCTGGGCATGCACGCACATGTGCCCGGCGTGAGTTTAAGCCACCGGGTCCGGGACTCGAACCGTGGTTGACTACATGGGCATCCGGCGACATAGCCATTATGCTAACTGCTGGTCCCACTTCTATAAATTTGTGATGTGGACCAGCTGTCACTCAAAAGAATCTGAAAAGAAGCTAAACTGTGCATCTGCCATCTTTTTGGGAACAATAAATTAGAAAGTAAAAGTGAAGTGCTTAGCATCAAGTTTGACAGAAAGGAATAATCTCAACAAATCGAAGTTCATGCCATGGAGATTGGTAACGTTTCGTATAGTTTAGGCTACAGGAGAAACTGTGCAAACGATACGCAATGAAGACAACAAAGCTGGTTGTTGGGCGCATCTAATTTCCTTTCTACTTTTTAGCCTAGTAATGCCTATCTGTTTGTATTATTCAATAGTTCTTCAAAATATATTCTTCTAATGTCAAACCAACACCCACTGACTTCACTGGCGTTTTAAATAATGATTTGTTTCTAAAACTCACCACTTACACTGAGGACTTTCCCAATCGTATATTCTCCTGAGATGACCAAGGAGGTCCCATACCAGAACGCCAGGGCATATGATGTATAGATCAACAGGAAAGTAGCACCCACAGAAATGTTGGCTGTGACAGCTTTTTTAATCCCAATTCTTTTAGCTTCTTCTAAATTGTTATTGTACCTGGGAGAAAGAACAAAAACAATCACATATACTCATCAACCTTATGAAAATATGTCAGTGTAGCGTGATTATCAAGTAGACTGCACCCAGTTCTGTGATACGCATATATAGTCTTTGCCCATACATAGACTTGAGGTTAGTACTACTTTATTCCCTTGTTTTAAAAGGTAAAACTAAGACTTAGAGTTTAAGTTAGTTGTGGACGAGAGTTCTAAAAGCTCCTGGCCTCTGCTAGCCTTAACAACAGTGAAATAGGTACAGTGATATTTAGCCAACTTCCATAACTTGTATTGTTTCATACACGAGACAAAATAGACACCATGAGAAAATTTGCACCTCCTCTTCAAAAATCTATATGGCTCTTTGGTTAATTAACAAAATAGAAATGTAATGATAGAAAGTGCTGATCAGGAGAAAGTCATTTAAATCTCTGAACCTTAATGGAGCCCTGGAGACAAGTTGCTCCCTGCCCTGTCTCCCTCTGGGACTATTAAAAAAATCAACTGTGGGACCAGCAGTTAGCGTAATAGCTATGTTGCTGGACTCCCATGTAGTGGACCGCGTTTTGCGTCCTGGACCCGGTGGCTTAAGGCTCACGCCGGGCGCATGTGCGTATGTACCCAAGATCGTGAGAGAAGAATGGAGGAGAAGGGATTGTGGCGTGGCCATCCCCCCTGGGGGGTGATCTCTCGCTTTCTGTCTCTCTGTCTGTCTTCTTTTTGTCTCTGGTTCTTCCGGGCGACCACATGCCCCCTATAGAAAAAAAAAAAAAAAAAAGCAAAAGCAACTGAGAGGACTGACCCTATAGTCTAGTGACTAAGGGAGCCAAATTCCACACGGCTAACCACAGTTCCAATATTGGCCTCAGTGGTTTGAAAAACACACCAGGCATGTGTGTGTACCCAAAGTCCCAGTAGGATGGAGGGATGAAGAAGGGACTGCAGTGGGACCATACCCCATCAGGGGATACTTTCTCCTGCTTCCTGTCTTTCTGTCCCTAACAAACGCACACCCCCTAACAAAATTAGAAAAAAAAAAGAAAAAAAAAATTCAACCAAGAGGTTATATGTGTGAGAGCATTTTGAAAACTCAGAACTGCTACATAATAATTTTTACATTTAAATAAGCTTTATGGGCAGGCCCACAGTGTAGAGGTTGAGCGCTGTGAATGGTGAGCCAGATCTCATGTGGCCAACCTCAGTGCAAACCCCAGTCTCAGTAGCATGAAAAACATGCAGGGTATATGTGCATATGTACCCAGGATCCTGACAGGACGGAGGAATGGAGAAAAAAGGATTGTGGCATGACCATACCCCATTATGAAAGTGTGTGTGTGCTCGCTCACTCTAATGAGTACACACATCCTCCTGGCAATTAAAAAAGAAAAGATAAATAAGCTTCAACTTATTCGCATTGACATTTATTTTAAAAACATGGAACTATAAAAATTATTTGCTTTAAAAATATAGAGTAGTCCATAGTTGGGACCAGCAGTTGGTGTAATGACTGTCACTGGACTCCCATGTAGTCAACTGCGTTTGAGTCCCAGACCCAGTGGCTTAAAACTCACGCCAGGTACGTAATGCATGTGAGCCCAAGATACTTGGAGGACAATGGAGGAGAAAGTATTACAGTGAGGCCATCCCCTGTCGGGGATGACTTCTCACTTTCATCAGTGTCTCCTCCCTTTATCCTTTCTGCAGGTTACCTACAGATTCTTCCCTGTAGATGCTTCCACCTATTTGCTCTATATGGCTGCCCACTGCTGGACTAATGGACTCCGGCTTGATGGCATGAGATACCCAAAGCCTTCTGCCAGGCTCTAAAGCTGAGAAAACCAAAACTCTCAGCATATCTATAATCCTGTAATGTCTTCACAGGACAAAGGTCTACGCCACACTAGCCAAACTTAGAGAACACCCATGAACTATTCTTAGATCAAATATAGAGAATTATTAGAAAGGGGACAAAAACAAAAAAGCAAAAACCCAAAAATGAGTCGGCTGAAAGATTTCCTTTCATCGGTTCCAATGACTTAAAGCTTATCCCCAAATGACGGCTCAAGTACTTCTTAAACCCGTGGAGAGTGGTCACTTTCTGGTATTAATGCTAGAGGAAATGGTGCCTGTCACTTTACCTTCATTTGAAAGGAATACAGAAGACTATTATGTTTAAGAAGAAAGATGTGGAGATTAGCTAATGAGGCCCAGATTCAAAGAAAAAGAACAACTTTACAAATATGGAACCCAGGTAAAATTATTAGAGAAATAAGACACATTATAATTGAGTCCTAAATCTGTCTCTATCCTCGTAATCACAACTGCCTGCAGAACCTAAAGAATTGCCTTGAAGAAAGAAGGTGCTCATAATTCTTGACATGAAAGCCCTCTACACAGAACTTGTATTTTGAGGTCTCTGATCCATGAAATACACGACTATATAAATATTATATATTAATTTACTTCAGAGCATTTGTTCCATTAGTATGTGCAGCAGACAAGAGTTCAAGCCCTGCCCAGGTTCAAGCATGCATTCTTTCTTGCCTTCGTAAATACTTTAGCTATTTTATCACAGATAGGAAGTCTGTCAAATGAAATTTACATAACAACTAGTTCACTACAGACTAAATTTAAACAGAGCTTTATAGTGATAAAATAGAAACAGATTATTTCAGTTTCTATGCCCCAAAAGGTGAACAACCCAACTTGCCAGTTATAATTTTTGAGCAAAAAATTATTTTCAAGAAATATGTTTCAGTGACTGATGTGAGATGATCTGAGGTGAAAGGTATTACTCGGCATAAATTATACATGACTACATTTAAGAAATTTTCGTGCTTATGACTCATACTCTTACATATTCTTTATTTCAGTTCTTGCTTACCAAGACTAATGCAGAAACCATTTCACTGACAGCATGTTGTCTTAAGCAACCAGAGGAAACATTTGCATTAGGAAAAAGCAACAAGACAGAAAATAATTTAGATAACAGAAAAGACAAATGAAGGAAAGGCAAGGGTAAGAGTATAAACAACACTCCTTTTATACAGGCTTTTTGATTGCTTTTTCAATAAGAATGTCACAAATACAAAGTCAAATATTAAAATCATCCATTCAATAGAAGCTTTAGTATGAAAAATGGTAAAGTAGGAGTTCCTAGGGACTAAAGTAATATAACAAAAATTGTTGGTATTTAGAAAAGATTAATTTTCTTAAATGTTCCAAAAACATTTATCAGTGATGCAAATAGCCACTCCTAAGAGCAAGGAACAATTTTGGTTAAGCAAATATAAATCAATACTAATAGGTAAACATTGCAAGACACTTAAAAAAGAAAAATACTATCTCTAAGTTAAGGAGAATAAAACTATTCTACACTATTGAATTAAATTCATTTTAACTTATTAAATTTCCATTCCAAGACAGCCAGTTTCCTCCTGCACCTGCTAATTTGAAGAAAAGACCAAATGAACACTTTGTTTCCTTGTACATGCAGAAGCTGAGATGAAAGTAAGGAGAGGAACTGAAAAGAAAATTGGAGGATTGTTTGGTCTAAAAACTATCTTTCCAGGGGCCGGCAGGTGGTTAAGGGGCTGGACTCCCACATGGCTGACTGCAGTTTGAGTCCAGGATCTGGCAGTTTGCTTTCTCGCTTTCTCTCTCTCTCTCTCTCATCTCGCTTTCTCTCTCTCTCTGATCAAATTACAATAAATAAATAAATAAATAAAGCTAAATAAAATAATTATAAAAATTATAATAAAAATTATAATGATCTTACCAGTTTTAGTTCAAAATTATATCCCACATCTAGGTACTTGTCTCCCTTCTCCTTTTTCCTCCCTAGAACAGACCACCATAATCCCTCTGAGCAGGGCCACAACAGCTGCCTTCCTGATGGACCCTTTGACTGCTCTCATCCATTTACCAGACCCATTACGGACAGAGAATGTTTTTTCAACAATGCACATAATCATCTCCTTGTTTAATATCTGTTGTCAACCACCTCCCTACGCTCATGGAATAAAATCCAAACTTTGCCATGGACCTCACACTTCTATATCTAGGCCTCTACTCACACCAAACTCTCCTCATTCATCTAAGCACCAGTCACACACCCTTATAATATTTCCTAGAATGTACCAAAGTCTTTGCTCCTTCAGGAAGACTCCTATTCCCATCCAGCCCCTCCATATCTTTACCATGGCAGGCCAGTTCTCACCCATCAAGTTCTGGCCCAAATGAAATCTCCTCAAGGAGGCCTATCTTGATGACTACATTCAAGGTCACTTTGCCCTCCTTATATCATCAACGCTGTGATTCTTTCAGAGATCACTTAAAAATCTGTAATTTGTTTCTTTGATGATTCTCTTGACTTCCTCCCTCCCCCTTCTTAGCCATCTTACTATTTCAACTGAGGATCATGTGAGATCCATATCCTCTAATTCTCATTCATGACCAAAAACCCGGAGTTGAGCACAGTCATGGCATGCAGCAAGTACTGGACTAATCTGTTGAATGAGTGAACTTTCAAGAAATGGCCAAGCTAAAAGAACAGTAGGCCATGAGATTGTAGTTTATTTTGGTTTGTTCGGGGTTTTTTTGTATGTACTCTGATCTCTAGGTAACACAAATTTCAATTTTCCATGGGAGAATCTCCTTTCAAAGATGCATTCAAGTCATTATATCTTCTGAAGAAATTACTTCACACATAGAACAAATCTCTGAAAATAGCTACGTAAGCCTATTTGCTTATTCTTATAGTTAAAAGTTGGTTACCATCTTCTCTAGAAAAATATTTTCTAAACCTCAGTAACTAAAATAGTCCATTAAAAGAGCCCTCAGTTCTTTAAACTTTTAGTGAACTAAAATTATCAAATTTATCTGAGTTATGCATGTTAGGCTTGACTACCCTAATGTCTTTCCCTCCTTCCTAGACTACATCCCACACACCATTATGAGTTTTCTTAGTAGTATCTTTTCAAAATATGTCATCTTCCTCAGATTTAGGATGCTATTACTTTCAAGAAATATTGGTAACCTGTTATTTTATGTATATCACTAAGAAAGGAGCTTAAGATAGGAGATTCTATATACAGCTAGGATACAAAGGGCCATGCCCCATGTAATAAGTACCACAAGTGCCACAGAAAGGGACAGAACTCACATCTGTCAATCCTGGCATCAGATGAAAAGGGGGAAAAACAACCTCACTAAAATTTGAGGCATAAACCAGTATCCATGCAGGTTTGAAGTATAAATTCATACTACTGGTGTGGTCCAAAAATTCCTAGACACAGAACTTAATGTAAAATAGTGTCAGGTGAGTACCTCCCTTGGAGAATGGCAGATGCAAATATGAACCCTGCCAGGAAGTGTTCAACTTCAATCCAGATCCACTGCACGTGAGACTGATCTCAAGTTTTATTCCAATTTCAGAGATCACGAATTGTCAGGGAAAATGTGCATCTCGGAATGGACGAAATACTTTTCTAATGTGCACTGCTAGTTTATTTACTGGAATGTCATTTATTTTGAAAAACGATCAGGTAGTTAGGTACCCAGAGACCTCATACTTTGTTAGCCTATAGGGTCTGTGGAAATTTCCGGGTATGCTACCATATTATATCAACTGTGAATAATGACAGCTTTCATTTATTTTTCTATTTTATTTTGCTTATTATTTTCATTCTTATTGGTTTTCTTGGTCTCATTATCAAGTATTACTACGAAACTAAATAGAAATTATACTACCAGATATACTTGTCTCATTCGTTATTTTAAAGGAATGCATTAAATATTTCACCATTAAATATATTTCTTGAGGTGAGAGTCATCAGGTGGGGTGGTAGTTAAGGTGTTTGACACCCACATGGTCAACCACATGGTTCGAGTCCCAGACCTAGCTGCTTAAAAATCATGCCAGATGCATGTGCACGTGTGCGCCAAATCCCAAGATGACTACGGAGTAGAAGAGACTGAGTGTGGCCATCCCCCTGGGGAAGAGGGTGATTTGTCACTTTTCTTCTGTCTCTTTCTGGTGAGTGCATGCACCCTATGGCAAAAACCTAAAAAAATTTAAAACAACAACAAAACAAAAACCAAACCAAACCAAACAAACAAACAAAAAATATATATATAACATATTATATATAATATATTATATATATAATATTATATACATTATATAAAGTGAATTATATATATTATATATACACACATACATACATATATATGTAAACTACATGTGTGTGTCTGTGTGTGTATATATATTCTATGGGTCTCCTAATACCTAGCTTTTATTGGGTTAAGACAATTATTTTCTATTCCTAGTGTTTTTAGAGAGATTTTTGCTACAAGGTGTGTGTATTCACTGGAGTGACAGAGACAGGAAGCAAGAAATCACCCCCAGGGGAGATAGCCATGCTGCAATCCCTTCTCCTCCATTCTCTTCTCAGGATTTTGGGTATGCATACGCATGTGCCTGATGTGAATTTTAAGCTGCCAGGTCCAGGACTCGAACCAGTGTCGACTACATGGAAGTCCAACCGCATAACCGCATTAGCACTATCTGAAGGTCCCTTATTCCCAAGGTTTTTTTTTTTTTTAAGATTTATTTATTTTATTTTATTTGTTATATATATTCAATTTTCAATAAAGCCTCTGGTAGCTCAGAAATCTTTTTATCAATAACTTATAAATTTCAACAAATTACTATTATAATGCTCAAAAATCTAATAAAAGGGAACAGTTGCAAAGATAAAACCATACAAAACATAATTTAAAAAATCTGAACATCAGAACAAATGAACAAAATATGCTTTTTGGTTACATTTTTGTCTTTCAAATCAGGGCACATATCTCAATTGAGTATGGGCCTGAGCAAGAGGGGAAATGAACCATAGATTAAAACGTCTCCATAGATATTGCAGAAAATACTCATTCAGTATAGACGAGCAAGAATAAACTTGATTAAAATATCAGATATGCAGGAGAAAAAAACTTTTAAAAGACACAAAAATGAAAAGTTATCTAGCTATGATAATGTATATGATAATAACTTTGACTGGAGTACTATGTACCCCATTCATGCTCAGAAAAACCATTTTGTATACTGTACAGACATAAATTGATTAAATATAAATTAAAAATACATTTTAAAAACCAGACATATAAAATACATTTCAGCTGTAGGAAATGATCTTTGTGTCATTTCTCATCTAGAAGATTCTGGTATATCCTTTGAATTAGCAGATAGAAGAAAATTGCAACTTCTCCAAAATATTAGTTATGTTATAATATATCCATTAAGCTATTTAAGGAAATACACATACATACACACACACACATATATTCATGTATATAAAAATATGTATTAATATGTATACACACACATACACACAAGCTATATAATTTAAACTGTTAGCCTGAAGGGTATATGAGATGACACAGAATTTAACATTTCTAACTTAAAAAAGAAACTCAAACCTTTCAAGTTCTTTCTTTTGTCCTCCAAATGCAATCACAGTTCTAATTGCTGCTAAGACCTCTTCTGCTACTGCTCCAGCTTTGGCATATGCCAAGAGTTCTTTATCAGTAAACGAAGACAATATCTGTTCAAAAATACAAGTTTTCTGATCATTTAAATATTTTGCAAAGTTATCTTTTGTAAAGCAGAAAATACACCAATGTGGGCAACTCATTTTCTGGGCCCCCCTCCCTTCCTGGGAGCTCTGTTTTTCCTTCCCTCTCTTTCCTCACTTTACTATCTCTAAAATAAATAAAATAAACAGTAAAAAATACACCAATGCTGTGTGTACGTTACTGCACACATTGAACAAAATCTGCCTTCTACTTGTCCTTGGTCATGATGTCCTATTTTCAGTACATATATTCATGCTATAAACTAGCTCAAATTCTTTCTGGACTATAGGGGTATATAACAGATTAGATTAATTGAATATGAAACCTAGCAAGGATCCCTGATGTATTTTCTAGGGTTCCTAAAATATAAAGTCCACTTACATTGTAATGGCCCAGAGTAAGGAGTAAGTCTTCAGACTTCGATTATGATGACTAACAGGGACCATAAATGAAGGCCATTTGACCTCTAAAACTCTCACTTAAAACAAAGATAAGGTTTTCATTTCAATATGTAAGATGTTTTATAGGCTGGAAACTACTGGTTGTGAGCTCAAAGAAGCCAGGCTAAATGAAGGATTCCAGACACCTGAAGAGGAATTTGATTATCTAAGGCCTCACCAATCAAGAATGCCCACGAGATGATCATGCCCTCTTGAACCAATCACTGAACTGATCATGTGCCTGAGACCTCTGCCCCCAATTTTTGCCCTTAAAAACCCATATGGGGAACCTCTCCAGGAGACAGGTCTTTTCAGCCTGACCTACCCACTCTCCTTGCTTTGCGCTTTGCAATAAAGCTATACTTTCCTTCATTACACCGTGTGCCTATGGTTGGGTTTCATGGCGCTTGGGCGAGCGAACTTGATTTGAGTTCGGTAACAAATATTGTATCTTTCAACTGAAAACTTCATATATATAAAAATGTAAGTGGAAGATCTGGGAGATACTATATTTCAGAAAGTAAGGTATAGACTACATTAATTATAAACAAATGTAGAAAATAGGCACCCTATGGGACCAGCAGTTAGCATAATGGCAATGTTGCTGGACTCCCATGTAATCGACCGTGGTTCGTGTCCCGGACCTGGTAGCTTAAAACTCACTTTGTGCACATGTGTGTGCGTGCCCAAGATCCTGAGAGGAGAATGGAGGAGAAGGGATTGTGGCGTGGCTATCCCCCCTTCGGGGGTGATTTCTCGCTTTCTGTCTCTCTGTCTCTCTCTGTCTGTCTGGCAAGCTCACGCGCCCTATAGCAACAATAACAAAAAAAAAAACAGGCATCCTATCAAGGAATTAGGGTGAGTGCTCAACACGGAGACTGCTAATGGGCCTCTGGCTCAGACACGTCAAGGTGGGAGGCCAGGGAAGTATGGGGACCACACAGCATGTAGTGACATAACTTTAGGAAGGATAAGCAAAGAGTTTCCTTTGCTGATGTTCTTGAATAAAACAACTCATTCAGCTGCCAGGTATCTCTTGACTCCCCAAGTATAGTGGTTTCTAGTACCAGTGCTCTCTCACACCCCTATCTCCAGGCAGGGGAAGAAAGTCTGAGGCACACATGAACAAAGGGGCTTCCTGGAGGAGCTGCTGGCTGTGACTGGGTCCCTTCCTGTTCTTCCTACCTGCTTTGGTGTCTCTGCATTGGGCAAGTGAGCCTCAGTTCTCACAGGGAACAAAAAGGCTTTCCAGACTGGCCACATTCCATTTTGAATATGGCTAACCAGAGAATTAAGAACTTTGCTTAAAACCATACCATAAGTGGATAGCACAGTGGGGATTAAAACTGAGGCAGCAAAGGGCTTCTTTTACTAAATAATGGTATCTGAATCAATACTTCATAAAATATTAACTCACAATGTTTCCCTAACTTAACTAGAATGGATACTAATACATTTTAAATAGTTCTTCAACAAATACTGATGTGAAGAGTTTGCATCTGACTTGCTTAATGTTCTAGTAAACAGAAAAGAAAATCAATTAGCAAGAAGCTTTTGCCAAGTATTTCAGTTAGCTAATAACCACCAGGAACACCATTTAACCCGTTACACTGAGCAACAAATCAGCAGTCCTCAGAACTTCAGTCTCTTCCTCGGTAAAATGAGAAAAACCTATCCTTCAAAAAGATAACAAATGTATTTGTGTGGCACAGCAGATGCTCAATAAATGGTAGTTACTATTTACAATAGCAAAGCAACATCCATCCGATAGAGTAAAGGCTCTAAAACTCTTGTAACACTTACAGGCTCACTTTTGTGTTTTGCTTTTGTTGGTTAGCCATTACTTAAATTCTTCTGCTACATGAATTTGTAGTGCCTTCTCTAAATTGTGTTGAAATCAGTCAAAATTACACACTGGGTCAATCTCTCCACTGCAAAAACCCACTCTTAGATAAAATCTACTTATTTTTTTAAAGAGGTTTTCTTTGCCTTAGGCCATGTCTGCTGACAAGAGAGAAACAGAGATAGAGAGAGGGAAAGTGAGCAATCACTCCACAGTGGGGATGGCCATGCCACAATCCCTCCCCCTCCATTCTCCCCCTGGGATCTTGGGCATGCACACACACATGCCTGGTGTGAGTTTCAAGCCACTGGACCTGGAACTCAAAATGATTAGTCATGTAGAAGTCCAGCGACATAACTGCTCCGTCATCTCTGGCCTCAATCAAATCAATTTAGAACAAACATCATGCTCTTTAAAAAGAAAAAATAGGTATCACAAAATCATTGCAGGCATGTGTGCAAATGTGGGGAGGGCTGCTTCTGTGTTGCCTTCAAGATTAAGAGATTAAAAGTTTACATGCATCTGGGACCAGCAGTTAGCGTAATGGCTGTGGTGCTGGACTCCCATGTAGTTGACCGCGGTTTGCGTCCTGGACCCAGTGGCTTAAAACTCACGCCGGGTGTGTGTGTATGCATGCCCAAGATCCCGAGGAGAACAGATAAGAGATTGCAATGTGGCCATCCCCCCCGGGGGGTGATTCTGCCTTTCTGTCTCTCTGTTTCTTTCTGTCTGGCGAGCGCACACGCTCTATATCAAAAACCTCTCAAAAAATAAATAAATAAAAAGTTTACATGCTTCTGAAACTGGAAGGTATCTCTTCTCTTAAAGTTTATTAAATTCTCTTAAATTTAAGTAGATTAAATATGTATAAACATAAAGCTATTTGCAATGCTCTCAAAACTATAAATCTGATTTACATATTAAACAAAATCTGCAAAACCAAAAACATAAAAATCGAATATTGTAGGGACATATTGATGGAGCGGCCCTGAGTGAGGTGTGCGGACATGCTCTGAGCAAGCACCACCTGTCCCTTTGGGCTTCGGCAGAGCCTTGCAGCTTGTCCTTTCCTTGACCCTCACTGCAGGCAGAGCAAAGGGTGGAAATTCCTAGGGTTGTTCCAACAGACACATCAGATGGAAGTCAGGAAACATCTTGACCCCAAATTAACAAAGTCCAATCCCTGCTCTGCATCTGAAAGATTAAAGATTATCCTTCTCTGGATGTGGTGGTACATGCCTTCTGGAGAGATTCTATAGCATTATGTTTCTTCTCACACCTGAGGCTAGACTTCTCTCCACTGGCAAAGATAATGAGATTTTCTCTTCATGGGATTATCACCAAGCAAAATAACTGGCCCAGTATGTCTAAGCTCTTAAAGATTTGTTACCTGATTTTTATTGTCTGTAACGTAGCAATGAAACTATGAACTGTCATGAAATATACATGTATACTATCTCCTTGTACTATAAATAAAGACGTCCAGTTTGTCTGGGTGGCACAAATTGCTTGGGCTACCTAGGCTCAGGCTGCCTGTGTCCACTGTTACTCTGTTTCTTTATCTCATGCTTTCCGATTCCCCGGTCCTCTCAAGATGAAGGGCTTCCTCTTTCTCTCCCTATTTCTCTTCATCACCATCAAACCCTGATCATGATTCAGCTAGATCCAAGCCGCAGGGATGCTGACAAAATATGGTGACTGGATGGGACTTGTGTTTTCACTGAACTTGAACCTCTACGTGCTCTGTGACTATGGCATCGTCCACTACAGAACACAGATCATTAGAGTTCAGCATGTCAGTTTACAAGGCAAAAGTGGGACGAGCAAACTCCTTCCTTCCTTCTTATCCCTTCACCAGACAGTCACATGGCCAAGGACTGCATGGAATGCATGGAGGCCTGGCAAGGACTGTACTAAGTGAGGCTGGATCTGGTTATCCTGCTGATTTTGAACTGAAGATTTAATAGCAAGTGTTAAGTGCAAAAACAGGGCTATCATGCACAGAACCAGGCCCTACCAAGAGGTCTTCCATGTGGCCCAGGGGGCGGTTTGAAATCTGGATTCACAGGCGTTACCTACCTTTGCCCAGATAGCAGCTGACAGTCCAAGAACAGGACTGATGGCCAAAATCACAAGGGTTAGTTTCCAACCACGTGTAAATCCTATTATGAAACCGGTGAAAAATGTTGCCATTGACTGAAAGAACATTCCAATTTTGTCACCAATTCCTTCATTAATTTTGGAGACATCACTAAAAGAACAGAGAGTGTCAAAGATAAATGTCAGAATTGTAAACAGGGAACTTTTCTCCTGCGTGTGCTTCTGTTGGGAGTGTGGAGTGAAGCAGCTCACATGGAGGGTCCTCACGTGTATGCTTATTAGGCCGTGTACGTATCTAGGAGGATATCTGGTATCAACAGAAATCCATATCCACAGGGTCCCAGAAAAGGGATATGGTTCACTTGGAAGTACTCAAGTAGAAATTTTAAATTGCTTGGAAATTTCCTCAGAAAGCATCGCATTGTCGCTCTACTGCACATTCTGAGGATTTCTTGATTCTGGCAGGTCCAATCCCTCCTTCGGTGCCAGTCATGCATTCGCCTTGTGTCTTGCGCAAAATGGTGCATAAGCCACGGTCACTGCTCAGAAGGAATTTACTCCCACTAACATCTCTTAATAGACCTGAGGACATCGATTTCATGTTACTGAGAACCACTTCTGAGTTAAACATAAAGCTACACTTACTCTGTGAGCCGGGTGTTGAGCTCTCCAACATCATGCACATCAAACCAGCCTACTTCCTGTCGCATGATAGCATGAAAAAACTGTTTTCTGATTTTGTTTATTTGTCTTCCAGCTGCTAAGCACCAAAATGAAACCTGAATGTAAGCAGCCACGAGCACACCAGCACCGATTCCGCTGTAATAATAGGCATATCTGAAAAACAAGAACATGCACATACTCTATTTTATCAACGCATTTTCCCAAACAGACCATTCCTTCTTATTTTTTTAGTTATCAAGGTATCTCACCATCTTTAACAAATAAAGAGAGGTTGTATGTGTTGGCCCCATGGTCTAGTGGTTAAGAGAACTTGTATTCCACAGAGCCAACTGTGTGGTTCAAGTCCTGACCCAACACCTTGAAAAACTCTAGGCAGGTATGTGTGCAGGTTCAAAATCCCAAAAGGAGGGAGAGATGGAAGGAAAGGGATTGTGGCATGATCATTTCCCATGAAAGGGACGCTCTCTACTTCTCCCATAGTCCCTCTGCCTATCTCCCTCAGGGGAGTGCACATGGCCTCTGGCACACCTTCTTGCAAACACACACACACACACACAAAAGGAAGGTTGTAAACAGCAGAGCACAGAGTCAACAGTCAGCTGTGTCTATGGTAATAGGGAATGCTTGAGTAGTTTCTGAGTGGTTTCTGCTTTGGCACAAATCCCAGCTCTTTGCTTATCTGCTACGTAATCTTGAGCAAACTGCTTAAGCTTTCATAGCCTCCGTTTTCAAACTAGTAAACAATGAGAAGTGATAGTCCTGATTCTGTATTTGACACTTGCTCTTAAATCTGTTCAAAATCAGCAGGACAATCAGATCCAGCCTCACTAAGCACCTTGCTGGGACTTCATGCTGTTCTTGGCCATGTGATTATCTGAGGAAGGGATGATTATTATACTTCAGCGATGCATAAAGTATACTTGGGCCAGTGACCTTCATACAGTAAGCACTCGAATTATGCCAGTTACTATCAAAGATTGTGTGGCATGTTGGGGTATCACAGCGTTAGGGAAGATGCACCATTGTAGTCCTGTGTATTCTGACCACGTGTACATCAGTAGATGAATGCCCTGGGATGGTCTCTATACAACCGAGGATAAAAGGAAGTGACAGAACTTGGCAAAAAGTGGAACTAAGAGATGGAAATGACCCCCTGACCTTTGCATTATTAATTGAGCAGAGCTCGAATGCCAGAAGACAACTGAAAATAAAAAGTATTTTTATATCCTCTGCCCAACTGCCCTTCACAACTTATCCTCAAACGCTTAATAAATCAAATAGTAGCCTTTTCAAGTTTAATCGAACATAAGCATCTTCTAAAATCAGACCCTTAATAATCTAGAAATGTTGGATTAATGTTTTGTTGCTCAATCTTCATATTTAAAAAATTAAAAGCTTTTTGAATTCACAAAACAATTAATTTTAAGATTAAATGTAGACGTTCCAAATGGAAATATAATATCCCATTATTTCCATTTTTTAAAGTTCATTAATTGCCATCTTCAATAAGCATGTGTGTATTAATACTGCAGAAGCCAAGGCCAGCAGGTGGCATAGTGGTTACAGCACTGAACTCCCACATGGCCAACCATGGTTTAAGTACTAGACCTGGCAGCTTGAAACTCACGCCAGGCATATGTACGTGTGTGCCCAAAATCTCAAGAGGAGAATGCAGCAGAAAGAATTGCAGCGTGGCCATTCCCTCAGGTGGTGAGTTCTTACTTTCTCTCTCTGTGTCTCGAGTGAGCACACGCCCCGTACAACAAAAATATCTCTTAAAAAAAAAAAAAAAGAAAGAAAGAAAACGACAATGCAGAAACTTTAAAAATGGCTGTGTAATAAGCAGATCATCTCTGATGCTACCATTCACAATTCATTACTCAGTCAATCAGGAATTTGGGTAAAGAAATCTCCCCTAAACTACAGTAATTTATAATATATATATCAAGAAAGATGTAATTAGAACAATGAATTTTAGCTAATACATAACTCTGTAATAGTGATTTAAGTGCTAATGATATATAATAGATATTTTTTAAAAATCTTTTTAATAAGTAAAAATTACACTTTAAGAATCAGTTAATGTATTTTAAACCCTTAGTGTATATATACTCAAAAATATTTATATTTAAGCATATACATGAAATGAGTACCATTCTTTTTCATTTTCCCTAATATAAAAACCAATGACTTTTTTTTTTTTTTCGGAGAGGTTTTTGCTATAGGGTGCGTGTGCTCGCCAGACAGACAGAGAGAGACAGAGAGACAGAAAGTGAGAAATCATCCCCCAGGGGGGATGGTCACGCCGCAATCCCTTCTCCTCCATTCTCTTGAGATCTTGGGCTCACACACACGCGCCCGGTGTGAGTTTAAGTCACTGGGTCCGGGACTCGAACCATGGTCAACTACATGGGAGTCCAGCGACATAGCCACTACGCTAACTGCTGGTCCCAAAACCAATGACTCTTCACAGGCATATTTGTGGTTACACGCTTCTCATCTTTCAAGATAAGATCATATGCCTTTATTTACTTCAAATCTACTAGATCATTTCTAAGACAATTTATCTTCTGAATCAACAATATATACCTTTGGCCCATCTGTTATAAATTATTTCTAGGGAGTAAACTTTCAGACATGTAAATCATTAACAAAAAGATTCCCCAAGGTGTGTTGAAGTTAGAGTTACTATATTTATTGCAGGATATTTATTTCATTATTTACAATTAGATGCCAAGCTCAAAAAATTTCTGTTGACTAATCACATCATGACTGAAAACATCCAGAAAGCAAACTAGCAATCAAAGCTATTGAAAATGGTTCTTAATTCAATTACATTTTTTAAAGCAACTTTAAACTCTGTTAGTTTTCCTGGGACATTCTATACTTGCCAATCCACAAATCTAATTTATGTCCAACCTTTTATATATCTTACATAGCAAATTATTTTCTTTAAAAACCTCAACCTTGCATTCTCTTGGAAAACTAGCAATGGTATTCTCAAAACTTCAGCTATTACAATGATACGAAAATTTTAAACAATGATATGACTGTATTGATATGAGCTTATCAAAAGGAAGGACAATGTCTGACTACCTGGTCATTTCTTCTTCCAGTTTGGAGAACGATGTTACGTTGTCATATGGTATACTGTTGCTACCACCTTCACCTAGACCACCGCAAAACAAACACATGAATTTATGTCTCTTTGAGCTCCATTGACAACAAGCACATGAAAATAAATCAAATTCATTGCACTTGATAAGTTACACAAAAATACATCAAGTTCATTTTAATCATGGGTAGCATATTACAGATTTGAACACCTCTTTGATAACTTGATGATGTGCGCAAACACAAAAACAAAATTCGATTATGTTTATTTGCAAGAACAAACCACACATTTAGTAAGAAGCAATGTTTCAGTAAAAATATTGGGGTCTTTGAGTTTAACACTGTATGAACACCACTTCGAAGATGACATAAGAGAAAATTCTCTCCTAACATCACTGTCCTGGTAAATATCAATGGATACCTGAGACTAAATTACATATTTAAAACCTAACACTGCAATTACCCAGTTGTTGGTTTTTTGTTTTTGTTTTTGTTTTTTTTTGTTTTTTTGAGAGGTTTTTGCTATAGGGCGCATGCGCTCGCCAGACAGAGAGAGACAGAGAGACAGAAAGCAGGAAATCACCCCCCGGGGGGTGGCCACGCCGCAATCTCTTCTCCTCCATTCTCCTCTCGGGATC